ACTCCGATCTAATGTACACTACTCTACTGTGCCCGAATATACTCGTATCTATCCTCCTCTATCCTACCCTACTTGACCCTACTCTAACCTGACCAACTCAGGTCTGTTCGACTGCGGTTATACTCCAATGTATTCTCTACTCTACTCAAGTCATCTCTACTCTTCTCTACTCTACTTTATTCATCTACTATTTTCCATTATGCTGAGAGTCATTGCAATAGCAAAGGAAGGCAGTGCAATAGCAGAGGAAGCAATTGCAATAGCAGGGTAGGCGTTATTATAGCAGAGGACGCAATTGCAATAGCAGCGGAGGGCATTACACTAGATCGTGTGGGGCGACAAAGGTGGACACGTGCGTCAGTTCTCTACGGCTTGAACTACGACTCCTGCAGCCAAGCCTATGTTAGGGGAACGAGAAGTGGCATGAACATGACAACTCAGAGGTCCGCGCGGACTTCTCGGATCGGCACTGGAACCCCGGAACGCGCCAGAGGCGGCGCTGGAGGCGCCGCCACGGGGCCCCAGCGCCGATCCGTCATATATTTGGCGGTGCACACAAGGGGGTGGAGGGAAGGGGGGGGGGGCTTCTTAGAAAGAGGAGGCTTCTTAGAAGGCGCCGGCCTTACACCTATAGATATAAAGGGGCCCCAGGACACACAAATAAATACACACAAATAAAAATATTCCCCATATTTTCGTATATTTTCTGGGTTTTTGTCTTCCCCACCACTTCCCATATTTTCCCATATTTTCTGGGAATCGACGATTAATTGTGTCTGTGTGTTTTTCCCCCTCCTGAAAGGGGGTGGAGGGAGGGGGGGGGGCTTCTTAGAAAGAGGAGGCTTCTTGGAAGGCGCCGGCCTTACACCTATAGACAGGGCCGCGCCTCCTGAGCAGGGGTGCTTCTGAGAAGCCCTCCCCCTCCCCCTTCCCCCCTTCTGCGCGTGGCTGATATGCCTGTGGAGAAAACCTGCGAACTCTGGGCGACGAAACAGCTCCGCCACGAGTGATTCAAGCCGCCGCAATTGAGCAGGGACCGACCGTCCCGGCAGTCCTATAGTCCTACCACGAAGTGCTCTCAGAGCCCAATAATGTTCTAAGAACAAGAAACAATGCTCTTAGAACATAGACCCGATGTGGTAAAACAAGACAGACTCTGCCAGAAATGTTCTAAGCACATTTCGTGGAAACCACAAAAGGTTCTTAGAACATTCTTTGGTAGGGCTATAGGCGAGCCAGGACGCTTCGCCATTGCTTGACGCATCGCGCGGAGAGCACGGCCGCCACCCCCTGCGGAGCCCCTTGCCCGGCCGGCGCCGGCCGTCCACTTCCGCACTCCTCCGCCCTCCTCGTCTGGGCAGGATCCGCCACGGCATCGGATCGTGACATCGGATCACATCGGACGCGCACCGAATCCCCCAGACCCCCTGGGGTAATGAGAAAATCATGACGGGAGGTTTTTCCAAACTTTCGGCCTCCGGAAGCCCTTACTGGGCCTCGGGGCCGTCAAAAAACGACTCGAGATGAGAAACGGGTCCTGGGGGATGGGTCGAGACCTCTTGGGATGGGGCATCGGATCAAATCGGACGTGCACCGAATCCCGACAGGGGAGCGAAGACGATCCCGGCGATCCGACGATCCCATGCGGCCCGATGCTTGCATGGCGCTGGTGTGCATCCTGGCGCGGCCGAACCGATCCGATCCCGACCCCATGCCGATGCGCCGGGTAAGGGAACGAAGAATGACATAAACATTAAGAGGTTGATAGACCTCCTACCCTGACACGTCGATTAGCGAATTGGCCCCTTTCGGTTCGCGGGAGGGCGTCGCGGCCGTCATTTTTGCGGGCACAGGTCCGTCGGTTTCGGGCTCAGGCCGTTTTCACTAAAGGGTGGTTTACTAAAGGGAGGTTTGTCCATCGCCAAAACATACAAACTCGGAGGTCCGCGCGGATTCCTAGGATCCGCGCCGGGGGCGACGCCGGCGCCCCCGCGGCAGGTCGGCGATCTCGCGTGGAGTTCCGCAACAACGGTGTCTTCTGGCATGAGGGTGTATGGCGCAACGGCAGCGTGGCTGACTCTGGATCAGAAGGCTAGGAGCGAAGCTCTCTGCCCTCATATTGTTTGCCGGAGGGGTGGACAGCGCGCCCAATGGTAGTGCAAGCGCACCCGTCACGTGACCATATCGCCTCCTGCGGGCTTCAGTGCACCGCCCGTATGGATCCTGGGTGCAAGTCTGGCCGGTGGACCATGGGGCTCCCACGAACGACCAATGGCGCGACATGTCGCCACCGTCGCTGCCGCGCGGGTCCCTGGGTGGTCCCCACACTTCGCGCCCTCACGCTCAACTGTTGTATCGAATCGCAGAATCGGATGGGAAACGGGTCAAACCGCGCCTGAACCTTGGCGGCGAGCGAGGGGAAGAAGTCAGAAGTAGAAGGCCTTCTCAGAAGGCGGTGGGGCTTCTCAGAAGGCCTCCGGCATTATGAGAAGTACTCAGTGTCTTCGGGGAAGGCTTAGAAAACTTCTCAGAAGGCTGGGGGACTTCGGAGCCTTCTGAGAAGGCCCGACCCTTCCCACTTCCCCCCAGCCTCTCCGCCGAAAAAAGGAGGAGGCGGAGGAGGAAAAGCGGGGACGAGGAACGAGGGGGGGGAGGAATGAGAAGGAGGACGAGGAAGGAGGGTGAGGAGGAGTAGGAGGAGGAGGAGGAGGAGGAGGAGGAGGAGGAGGAGGGGGAGGAGGAGGGGGAGGAGGAGGAGGAGGAGGAGGAGGAGGAGGAGGAGGATGAGGACGAGGATGAAGAGAAGGAGGAGGAGGAGGAGGAGGAGGAGGCCACCCCCTCGCCGCCGGGAAACGCTTCAGACTCGGGTCGGGGTCCGCTCGCGAGCGGCACCGCGGGTCGGGCTCGGCCCCTGCAGGGGCCAAGAGAGAGAGAGAGAGAGAGAGAGCTCGGCTCGTGCCCGGATGGGGTCGGAACGACATCGGATCGGGGATGGACAGACCTCCCTTTCGTAAAACGTGGTTTAGTGAAAACGACCTGAGGCCCAAACCTGGCGGGCGCAAGCCTGGAAAACAACGGCCGCGGCGCCCTCTCGAGAACCGAAAACCGACAATTCACTAATCGACGTGTCACTGTTGGGGGTTCTGTCCGCCCCCGATCGGAATGGGCATCGGCATGCAGGCCCTACATTTAGGTCGGGCATGTCCCCCTGCAGGCGGAATTCGGAGGACAAATCAAGCATACCCCAGGAATGGTCACAAAAGCACCAACAAGTGCTCAAAACATCGTCCCCTGACTGTGTTTTACTGTTTTTGAACACTCCTCCTGTAGAGGGACAGGCCCGACTCAACCCTACATGTCGATGCCAGGCGGGCGCGTCGCCACTTGCCGAGCCGCTTGGCCCTCCAGCTTGCCCGCGGCACCCGACCCGCACACGATATGAATCTGCGGACTGCGGCGGCTGGAAATACACAGCCCTATGGAGAGCAGGGACCGACCGTCCAGACATTCCTATAGGTCTACCACGATATGTTCTCAGACTCAAAACAATATTCCAAAAACAGAAACCACGTTCTTAGAACATAAACCCGATGTGTTAAAACAAGACAGTCCCAGCCAGAAATGTTCTAAGAATAATTCGGCGAGCCAGGACGCTTCGCCACTGCTTGACTATGGAGAGCAGGGCGAACAGGCCCCAAGGACAGCTCAACTTTAGGGATCCGACCGAACTGGACCGAGAGAATCACGCACGTCTCGGCGCCGGCCTCCCTTAACCGCCACGGACAGTGGACGTGCGTGCAGCTCTGCGGACGCCTCCCAGGGTGGGGTCGGAGCAGACCCAGGCCCCCGACGTCCTGGTTGTTCCCAAACGTCAGCCCCCAGACGGTCCCGACCCATTCCCCGGGACCGGTTTTTCATCCTGGGTCGTTTTTGGACGGTCCCGAGGTCCGGTGAACGGCCCACAGAGACCGAAACTAGCGAAGAACCTTCCGTCTGGGGATGGTGTCGGAGGATCGCGCTACACATCGGCGATGCTCTGGCGACGTCGGGGCGGAGAAAACTGCGCTCCGGGTCGCGCCGCGTGGCCGGTGTCCTGCTGCGATGCGGCACGATGCCCCCGCCCTATCTGAACGGTCTGGGCGTCGGGCCCCAGTGAGGGATCCACGTCCAGTGCCTCCTGGGTTCCTGGGGACGCGGCTCCCGAAGTGGTGGAAAACGTGAGACGATGATTCAGAGAGTCCCAGGGGGGGAACAGTTCGAAGCAGATGGCTCTGCCGCTGGGAAATAAGCAGACGAGGATCAGGAAATCCCGATGACGACGATGACATCGCTCACGAGCACGCCCGGAACACAATCAATTAATCATCGCCCGGGGCGCTGGTGCATGACGGGCCTCTCTGGCCCGTTTACTACTCATCCTGTACTGTCTTCATCCCTGCAGAGGGCCCCCAAAGATGCACATTCACCGCCTCCTGGTTTCCCAGGGCGCCCGAATTTGACATGGACGCCTCCGACCCTCGGGTTGCGCCGCAACGCCGCACGGGATCCTGCGTCGAGCGTGATCTCCACTACACGTTCTGAGCTGCGTCGTGCGGGTGATCGGGCTGAAGACGAAGATGACGAGGACGACGAATAGGCGAGGGAGGCGGACGATGAGGAGAAAGAGGGAAACGGAGGCCCCCCGAGGCCTGTGGACAACTCTGGAGGCCCCTAAATGTCGGCAGACATCTCCAGCGGCGTTTGGAAACCGAAACAATTTAACAAGCAAGAAAACTCGATCGTCGATCCTCTTCATCAACCCAGTGGGAAGACCCATGATCCTCACAACGTGTGTTAGCGCCAACGTGCGACTGTCCACTGAAACCCTTCAGTGCGACGCATCCGCCGTACGAAAGGCCTACACGGGAGGCTGCGTGACATCAGTGGACTTGAAGGCTGGGAACACACGTCCTGAACATCATCGGGAGATGGAGGCACGTGAGGACATTCCCGCCGCGGGCCTGTTCCGGAGTATCACCAGCGAGCAAAGGCAGCAGTTCACGAAGACGGAACCTCCAGCCCTTGGGGCAGCGCGTGCGCGCGCACGCGGTTCGGCAACGTTGCCTTCCCTCCTCCTCGGCGTTGGCAGGTGGCGCGTCGGAGGATGCAATTACTATTGCAGAGTGTTCCCCAAACCTCGTATATCTCGGACAAAGAGTGTGTTGCGCAGCTGTCGGTGTCTGGAACGGGGCCCCAAAAACCAGAACAGCTGTCCAGGACGACGAAACGGCCTCGGGTAGGGTGTGCAAAAGTGCAGGGGCACTATACTGAAAAGATCAAGGCGTCGGGGGTTTGGTTACGGCTCGCCGCCCCTCCTGGCGACGAGGGGGAACCAAAGCGTGCGCCGAAACCATGAAGGAGGTGCTGCACGAGGCTGACGCGGAAATGACAGAAGAAAACGGGATATTGCATGGCCGATGGAGCATGCAACCCGTCAGCGGTAGCAAGCGGCCGGGAGCTCGCTGGAACCCCGTCCCCGTTGGACTGCTTCCGTGCTCTATGAAACTCGATGCCCTGACACCGCCCCGCCCCACCCCCGCCCCCCCGACCCCCTCTTCCTCCCCCTCCCCCTCTTCCTCCCCCTCCCCCTCCCCCTGCCACCTCATCCCTTCTCGTTTGCGAGGGGCGAAACAATCTTCGCAAGACGCCCCCTCTGACCACGCAGCCGGCCGCGACACCCCGTGGGCGAAATAGTTACTTACACGAGGCCCGCCGCCACGCCCCATCTCCAGCTGCGGCCCGGCCAGGCCGACAGCGCCGGTTAGCGGCTAGCCGGCGATGTCCTCAGCCAGTGCGGCGCCGGCCGCGCGCGCGCAGTGCCCAATTTGGCGCGCCGTCGCGACGTGCAGCGCGACGCTCGGTGTCCCAGCGCCTGGAGAGCGCCCCGGCCGCGGCGTCGGCGGCAGCGTCGTCGCCGACCTGCTGCGCCTGGTCGCGCACCAATTGCCGCAGGTGGCGCACCACCGCTGGCCTGCGCCAGCCACCAGTCTCCAGCGTCAGAGGGAGGACTGGCCACAGGGGGCTCGGCCTTCCGGGTGGCGTCGGCGCTTGTCGATCTCGGCGTCCCGGTACACTGCGCCGTCGCGCGCTGCCGCGACGCCCAGCGCACGCTCCTCGCCTGGCACACCGTGCCGCACCTTCACGTCGGCGAAGAGCCGAAGGCACCCCAGCCGCTGGGCCTCGAGATCAATGATACCCTCGTCGCGCCGCGCCGCGAGGGCGGCCCCGCTGGCGGGGCAAAGGCGCAGCCGTGCGCGTCGCAGCCCAGCGCGGCAGCACCACTGGTTCCGAGCTGAGAAGTGCACCTGCCTCTCAGTATGGAAACCGCACTCATGGTGAATGCGTTCCCACGCGTCTTCGAAGTTGCGGCTGCGCGCATCTGGGCCGCCCCCGCAAGCGCAGCGGTCAGCGTGCTGCGCTCGGCCGCAGAGGGGCTCGTAGCAGAGCTGCCCAGCGCGCGGCCCATTGCGCGTCGGGTTATGACAACAACTCCTCGGCGGCACGTTTTCTTGGCCAGGAAGCGCTCTCCCTCGTCGTCGTCCTCTTCCTCCTCCTCCTCATCATCATCCACCTCCACCTCCACCTCCACCACCTCCTCCCATGAAAACTCCTGCTCCTCCCCTCCTCCTCCTCCTGCTCCTCCTCTTCCTCCTCCTTCTCCGTATCCTTCTCCTTCTCCTGTTCCTCCAGCTCCTTCTCCTTCTCCTCCTCCTCCTCCTCCTCCTCCTCCTCCTCCTTCTCCTCCTGTTCCTCCTCCTGTTCCTCCTCCTACTCCTCCTCCTCCTCCTCTTGCTCCTCTTCCCTCTCCTCTTCCTCATTCTCCTCCCCCTCCTCCTCCTCCTCCTCCTCTCCTTCTCCTCCTCCTTCTCCTCCTCCTCCTCCTCCACCTCGTCGTCGTCGTCGTCGTCGTCCTCGTCCCTCGTCTTCGTGTTCGTCCTCGCCCTCCCCCTCCTCCTCCTCCTCCTCCTCCTCCTCCTCCTCCTCCTCCTCATCATCATCCTCCTCCTGCCTCTCCTCCTCTTCGTCGTCAGCCTACCCAGCCCCCAGCCCGTCTCTGGAGGCCTCTGTTTCGTCTTTCTACCCAGCCGGCCTCCGGAGGCCCCAGTGGCCTCAGGAGGCCAACTTACGAGAAAGAGCAGAGCTCCCCGAGGGGGGGGGGGGCAACGCCGACGACGCCGAAAACGTCGACGTCAGCGCTTGGCTGGCGTAGCAGAACGGCGACAACGGCGACGGCGGCTGGACGGCGACGACGACGACGACGGCGACACGGCGACGGCGAGGACGGCGGCGCTGGGGCGGGCGAGGACGAAACGCCCGTGCCTCTTGCTAGGCTGCGTGATCTGCAGGTCCCCCAATACGCGCCCGCCAGTGCCAGCGGAGAAGCGGCACGCCTGCGGTCCGCAGGAAGCCCGAAGCCAACCCCATCCGACCCCATCCTCGGTGGCTGCCCCATCTCCTCCCTCCTCCAACCTAATCCTCCTCCTTCCTGCCTCCTCCTCCTCCTCTTTCTCCTCCTCCTCCTCCTCCTCCCCCCCTCCTCGATCATCCACGCTCCCGCCCCACGGCGTGCGATCTTGGGCTCCCACGGGGCCGCCAGGCGCTCTCGCGCGGGCGCGCGAGCCCGAAGGCGTCCACAACTGCACATGTGTATAATATGAATACCACTCTCCTCTCTCCCCTGATGCCGTCCGGAAAATATTCGGCCCCTTCCGGGTCCTGATTTGTTGCACACAAGAATCCCGGAAACTGTGTTTTCGCTTGGTTGTGTCTCAAAATGTTGCTCCCGCTTGAGCGCTAGCCTCATTTTCGGCCTTCCGCTCGTGAATCGTGCTCCCGCTGCAGCGCTGGCGTAATTTTCTGGTTTTCCCATGTGTTTTTGGCAATCCGATTCTGTTCGGTCCTTCATGATTTTGCTCCCGATTCAGCGCTGGCCCCATTTCTGCGCCTCTTGTTGTTCCAAAAGGTGCTCCCACTGTAGCGCGGGCGTTCTCGGTCCTTCCAAATAGGCCCCCAATACTCATAGAAAAAAACACACAAGTGATTGCACATCCGGTGTCGATTCGTTGCGTATTGGGGCCGCAAAGGCCCTCTCACTTCGGGGCGGCGGCGTTTGGAGGAAGTATCAGCCGGGAGCCCCATTTCTGCCTTCAGGAGGTGATCTTGTAAGCCGAGCTAGCGGGTGCTCTCCATCGGTCCCGCCTTTTGGGGAGCTTGTCGCGGAGCCCCGGTTGCTAAACATGGAGCCGCGACTCCAGACCGGCCCCGACCCTTCGAAGACTATCCACTAACCCCCCAATGAACCTGGAGCCCTGCAATGGATGGCTGTGCGGTGTTCTGTTCTGCGCCGCTGTGCGATGACATGCTTTGTGTTGCAATGCTTTGTGACGCACTGCTTCACTACGCAATCCCACGCCATGATATGACATTATACGCCATGCCGTGCTCTTCTACGCCATGCCATGCCGTGCTCTACGATACATCGCGCACCCTCTCGCGATCATTGCCCTGCCCGACATCCGACTGTGCGAATAGAGAGGAGATCTACGCCATGGTAAGGATGAAAGGAGGGGCAAGACGTCAGATGTGACGCGAGCGCACCTAGCTTGTCCCTCCCCCTCCCCCTCCCCCTCCCCCTCCTCCTCCTCCTCCTCCTCCTCCTCCTCCTCCTCGTCCTCGTCCTCCTCCTCCTCCTCCTCCTCCTCCTCCTCCTCCTCGTCCTCCTCCCTCGTCCTCCTCGTCCTCGTCGTCGCCCTCGTCCTCCTTCTCCTCCTCTTTCTCCTCCTCCTCCTCCTCCTCCTCCTCCTCGGCTGCCGCCGCAGACCGCTCGGCATTTGAGCCCATTTGACCGCCAAATGGGCGCATGAGGGGCCCGTTTGCCTGCCGAACCGGCCACTTTCCCACCGCCAGTGGAATCGCACCAGCTCTCTAGGCGTAGGTGGCCTAGGGAGTTTCCTCTTCCAACCCCCTTCGTCCCCTTCGGGGAGGGGTTTAACCCCTCCCCCTACCTCCTTCCGCGAGGTGTCAGATGGCACTTATTCGCCCAAAATGGCTCCAGGAGGGCCTCAGAGAGCCCAAGATGACCTCCAAGATTGCTCAAGGTGGCGCAAAATGCCTCAAGATCACTTTCAAGATGCTCCTAGAAGCCCCAAGAACGCTCCAAGACGGCTCCCAGAGGCCTCCGAGACATCCAAGGAGTTCCCCAAGAGACCAAAATCCTTCAAAAACTGAGGCAACATATGATGTTTGCTTTCTCGCCTTTTCGCTTCCGATGGCCATCCGAGACCTCAAGATGGCTCCAAGATGGCCCAAGAGGGCCCCAGGAGGGGCCCAGAAGAGCCCCAAGACGGCCCCAAGAGCGCCCACGAGCGCCCCAAGAGCGCTCCAAGAGGGGTCCAGGAGGCGATTGTCGGTGCTCCCGAGAGGGGACGCTAATTGGAGCCCCCCTCAATTTTGATCGATGTCCTTCAAGATGGTCCCAAGAGCGCCCCTGAAGCTCCCAAGAGCGCCCCAAGAGGGCCCCAAGAGGCGCCCAGAGAGGGCCCCAAGAGGCCTCCAAGAGACTCCCAAGAGACCCCATACGAGGCCTCAACCGTATCCCCGAGGTACCCAAGTCTCCCTCCTTCTCCTCCTCCTCCTCCTTGTCGTCCTTCTCGTCCTTCTCGTCCTTGACCTACTCCACCTCCTCCTGCTGCTCCTCCTCCTCCTCCTCCTCCTCCTCTCCTCCTCCTCCTCCTCCTCCTCCTCCTCCTCCTCCTCCTCCTCCTCCTCCTCCTCCTCCTCCTCCTCCTCTGTCTCTTCCTCCTCCGCCGCCTCCTGCTCCTCCTCCTCCGACGACGACGATTCCTCCTCCATCTTCCCCCCCTCGGGGTACATGACGGCTTCCCCCGCCCCTTGTTTTTCTGCATACTCCCCCACTTCCCTGATCACCTCAACTCCCCTGGGCATCGTTTCTGGATGGGCTGGTGGGGATACTTTTTTTCGGTCGCGTCCACCAGCGAAGGCGCTAGCGGAGTCAGAAGCGCTACGGGTCACGACAGCGGCCTAATTAGCAGCAAATACGGCTGGTGGGGATACGGGAAGCGTCAACAATTAGGTCCAGTCGGCTGCCCACTCAGCAGCCGAGGGGGCTCGGGCGCCAGACGGGGTCAGAAGGGGACCCTCGGGTGCGGGCTGTTTCGGGCAACTCGAAGCCCTGACCCCGCCCCCTCCCTTGCCCCCCCTCCCCGCCTGCTCCTTCTCCTCTAATGAGGGCCAACGACAGGGGGGTACTGGCATTTGGGGGGGAACTTCGACCTGGAATCGGCGATACATCGCCAATAGATCGGCGATAGGCCGCCGATAGCGAATCTGCACCTGCCTGGAGGGGTGGGGATATTGGGACCCGATCGGCAATCAATGGGCGACTGGGGGTCGATGCATCCCCCTCTATGCCTATCCCCACCGATCGTTGCCCCTGATCTAAGGGAACAGAAAGCTGTTCAAGCATGAACTTGGGCAGGTCCGCGCGGACTTCTCGGATCGGCGCTGCACCCCGCGGCCGCCACCTCGCCGCCGCCCCGGCGACGCCCCCGCGAGCCCCTCAAGGGCGAACGCCACCGGTGGCTCAGAATCGGCCGACGTCGAATGATTTCAGCGCCGCGATCGTCCAAAATGGTGAAGGCTCCGCAAGGTGTCAGAAACCAGCGCACAAGTCCTCACGACGCGAGCCCGCGCGCACCTCCATGCCGCCGTGTCCTTCAGGGGGACCGGTCAAGGGGGAGGGAGGGAAACATCGACCTGGAATCGGCGATCACTACATCGCCGATACATCGGCCATAGGCCCCCGATCGCGGATCCGAGCGCTCGGGGTGGCCATCAGGCCCCTATCCACGGTTAGTGGGCGCTTGGGGGTCGATGCGCCCAACTCTGAACCTACTACGCGTTTCTTGATAAGCGTCGGGGGGGCGTCACCCCCGCCGACAGCCCCACATCGACCCCCGTCGCGGGCAGCCACCGCGCGCCAAAGGCGCTCCGACCCCCGTCGCGGCGCGACGATGAGGCGAAGTTGACCCCCGTCGGGGGGGGCCCCCCCCCGCGCGGACATAACTCGGCGCCACGGCGGCCGTTCGGGACGATCGGGGCGCCCCCGGAACGCTCTCGGCGAGGCGCGGCTGCCCGAGAACACCCCGAGGCTGGACAGCCGCCGAGCACGGAGAGCCTCGAAGCTGAGCATGTCCCCCCCTCCACCATTGAGCCTACACCCCCCCCTGAGCCTACACCCTGCGAAATGCTTAAGAAATCATGGGTTCAGAAATTCATAGTCTCAGAACTTGAATACAAAACCCAACATTTCCATTCAAATCTTGAGATTTGCATTGAAACGTTAAGAATAATCGAGATTCTGGCCGAAAACTTCTTAAGCTTTCTTAAGCATCGCCTAAGGTGTATGCCCCCTGAGGTCATCCCCCCCTGAGCCCTGAGCCCCTGAGCCTATCCCCCCCCCCTGAGCCCATACCCCCCGGAGCCTGCCCCCCCCCCCCCCCCCCCGAGCCTGGCCCCCCCCCGTATGCCCCCGATTACTCGACGAGGCAGGGCGCCCATCTCGCTGGACGCCCACCCGAGGCCCCCGTGGAGCTGCCTCGCGCCGCGAAACATCGAGCGGAGTGCTGGCCGCCAGCGGCCGGTGCATTCGAGGACCTCGGAGGCGCAAGCCGTCGGTCTCGGGGAGCTCCTCAGCGGAGCCTCCTCCACCTCCTCCTCCTCCTCCTCCTTCTCTCCTCCTCCTCCTCCTCCTCCTCCTCCTCCTCCTCCTCCTCCTCCTCCTCCTCCTCCTCCCCTCCTCTTGCCAACATCGATATCGAACCATATCGATATTGGCTTCGGCAAAACGCCTTTCTCCAGCGGTCGTCACGGCTTGCTGATGAACGTTCCAGGTGGGGTACTATGGGATATGGTGAGCGCTTTCTTGTTCGACGTTTCGACATTGGGCGGAAGGGGGTGAGGGGGGGGGGCTCTGGTTCTGGACCTCTGCTCTTTGCGGCTGATTGGAACCGTGCGTCCTCTGGGGGAGACTCCACCTGCTCGAAACAGGCGCCCGAACAACAGCCAAGATCTACTCCATGGAGGGGGGCGGAATGGGGGGGTGCAAGGACCCGCGCCGATCGGCAAAACAGTGAATAACAAAAACGATCACATATGGGAGAAGAGACGGCCGTTTCGACTTCCCACCAAAGGTTATCGCATTTCTCAATCAGGGGCTGGGGTCGCACGACTGGCAGCGCATGCGACCAGCTTAAGGATCGAAACGACGTCTTCTGTCTTGGCGGAGGAACCAGGTGCAAACATCAGTAACCCAAGATGGAGATGGCCTATTAGTTTAACGGCCTCTGCTTAAAACGATGATGCAACTGTATTGAATAATGTACCCTGATACCCCTTCGCCGCATCCTTCTCAAACTCCTGCTCTCCCCGTCCATCCTCTGCCCCACCCTCTCCTTCGATTTTCCCATCCATTCTCACTCCGTCATCCTCTCCTTCCTCCTCCTCTTCTTGTGTTGCTTCTTCAAGAAACCTTGTCTGTCCCGTCGCGCCACGATCCGTGCCGAATCCGTGTCAAATCCGTGTCGAATCCGTGTCGACTGCGTGTCGAATCTGCGTCGAACTCACGTCGGAAAACAAGTAAAGCCTGCCACTTCCAAAACCCGAAATGTCCCCCGAAGATGCAACATAATGCTTTCTCCTCCCCTCCAACTCGGGAGCGGCCAAGAGGGGGGTAAGAGGGGGGGGTGCAAATCATGACCGGCGGCTTGTGCGCGGCCCAGCGAGGAGGCCAGGGACGCAATGAAATAAGAAGAGGCGCCATGAAATCTAGGGAAATATCATGGCCCCCGCAATGATATCCTCCCCCCCCTAGTCATCACCCCCCTCTTTTCCGCCCCCGACCAGCGCTCCCCTCACCCTCAGCGCCCCATTCCGGGCCTCTTGTCCGGCTCATGCCCTCATACCGACGTTGCCTCCTGGCCACGCTGCCGTGCGGTCTCCGCTCTTGCACCTCCCCTGCCCTTCACCCATGCGGGCAGCCAAGCGCGAGCTCCCGCCCACGGCGAGACCACCGACGAGGACAGGCGCGGGCCCCCCCGCAGAAAAACGGCGTTTCGGCGAGAGCCTCCTTTGGGAAAAGGGGGGGCAGCCCAAAAAAGGCTCGCGGCCACAGGGGGGAGGTGCCGCTTCCAGCCTGAGCAGCGCCTCTCCCCAGGGGAGGGGCGGCCGGTCTGGGGCGGGAACCCGCCGTGGCTCACAGTTTGGGGGATGCCTACGGCAAAGGCACTCCCCTCGGGGCGGGGGGGAGGGGGAAGCGGGGATCCGCACCAGAAGCAGGGTCCTCAACTGATTGTAGGCCCTTGTCAACCCAACCATCCTCGGTTTCCCACACTTCAGCTCCCCAACGCACACCATTAATGCCCCACCCACCCACCCTGCTTCTAACCGCACCCCGTCCACGTCCTCCCCCTCCCCATCCTCGTCCCCCTCCTCGTCCTCCTCCCCCTGCTAGCGTCTCCCTCCCTGTAGCCCTCCTCGTGACACTCCGAACCCACCTCGTCGAAGCCCTCCCTCTCCTCCTCCTCCTCCTCCTCCTCCTCCTCCTCCTCCTCCTCCTCCTCCTCCTCCTCCTCCTCCTCCGCCTCCTCCTCCTCCTCCCCTCCCCCTCCCCCTCGTGCGCACTCCGAACCCACGGAGGGTTATCGAGGCCTGGCAGAATGAGGTCAGGTTCTTCCTTGTCGACTTGGATATCAGTTCGTCGGGAATGCCCTCCTCCAGGAAAAACAAGGAAGTGCCCAGGATGCTCTCCTCGACATGCGATGGACTGGGGGGAGAACGATGAAGACGAGAAACTATGAATCAGGAAAGGCGTCGCCGTGAAAGGTTGAAGGGTAACCGCTCCACGCAGTTGAACCACCTACGCGTAAGCGGCAGCCTGGCCAGCTCTGATCATCTCGACAACATTTGATCTGGGAGGCTATTGATCCTTGTCCGTGCGGGCCTCGAGAAGCTGCGCGGCCCCCAGACATCCGCAGTCTCGATTTTTCCAAAACACGGGCCCCCGACCTCCCGACCACTTACCCAGGGCCGGTTTTTCGCCCCGAGTCGTTGTTTGACGGTCCCGAGGCCCGGCGAGGGCCCCGAGAGGCCGAAAACAAGGAAAAACCTCCGTCTCGATTTTTTCGAGACGCCCGATGTCTGGGCCGCGCGGGGGCGGCCCGGCAGGACCGCTCTCGGGACAGCGTCCCGACAGAGCGCCGCGCCGCAGGAGCGCGCGGTCGGCTCTAGCCAGGGATCCCTGCTGGTGCGCCGCCCAGGCTGCCGAGGGAGCTGCGCAGGCACGCCGTGTGCAGAGGCACGCGCGCCGCGGCGTGGTAAACTTGGGGGCGACCACGGACAGTGGCCACTTCGGCGCGGTAGCTGAATATCGTGTTCGGGCGAAGGAAACTATGCACATGCACCGATCCTGACAACGTCCATCCTTGACCCAGGATCGGTGCATATACCTTCCTAGCCAAGGTAAGAGGGCGTATGCACCGATCCTGGGCTCAGGATGGGCCTGGCCAGAATCGGTGTATGTGCATAGCTCTCTTTCCTCTACGTTCAACCGATCCCCATCCCCAGCGGAGTGGCCTGGGCCCCACTGGCCGATTTACCCCCCCTAGAGGGGGCCATAAGTCGGTCTCTTCGGGTTTCGAGGGGTGCATCCCCAACTGGGGTGGTAATTTGGTGGGGATCTCGAAGGGGACGGAGACGGGGATGGGGATCGGTGAACCGATACCGAGTAGCAGCCGGCTGTGGCCCTTATCATCTTTTGGTGATCGTGCGGAAACGAGTCCAGCGGCGCCAAGCGCCTGTATTCCCAGCCACGCCGCGCCACCGCTGCTTCAGCCAGATTTCGCGGCAGTCGCTCCGCTCGCGGGCCGCATCCCCCACGCTGCCGCCACCTCCACGCTCGAAAGGCGACGCCAGCGCTGTCTGCGCCGAAAAACGCAGAGCCGCTCCCAAAATCCCATCCAGGGGGGGGGGCAGAACAAATTGCTGCGAACGCTGGGGGCTTCAGTCAGGGGCAAGGGCTCAGAAGGAAGACGGCTCCCAAGACGCCCCTCTTCAGCCCGTGAAGCAGGCCCAACGTAACCTATGTACCAAAACCTTAACGGCCATGGAAATGTCCCCGAGCGGCCCCTAGGTGGGATCTCGGAGGGGGGGCTGGCACTCCTGGGAACTTGTGGCCAGGGCTGGACCCGAACGTTGTTTCTCGCTTTGCGTTCGTGCTGCATGTTGGTTTGCTCTACCTGTCTTCCTGCACCTCCCTGCCAGCACGAAAAACAAAGCACAGCCGAAGCCCAGCAAAGCAGCGCTTAGATCCAGCCCTGCTTGTGGCACCTCTGAATGCGAGCCCCTTCGCGGCCCTGGGAGCAGATCACGGGGGCCACTGCCCAAAACAGGCCCAACTGGCCCTTGTCTCAGGTCGGGCATGTCCTCCTACAGGCGGATTTTAAGCGAAAAATAGCACATACGCAAAAAACGAAAACAAATATTCAAACATATTCAGGACATCGTCCCAAGACTACCTCTCTACTACTTTTGAACATTCCTCCTGCAGAGGGGCACGCCCGACTTCGCCCTTGCCCGCGGCCGCCCAAACACTCGTCACGCTGCGCCGCGCCTCTCTCTCTCTCTCTCTGTGCGACGGTGTGCTTGCGCAGCTCCTCGGGCCAACTTGGACGGCTCCTCGACAAGGGCCCCGAGCCAACCGCACGCACCTGCCCTGCGGCGCTCCCTCGGGGAGCCGCCGCCGCATGTTTTTTCCTGCAGCGCCGCCTCCACGCGGCCGCGCAGCTGCCGCAGGACATGCCCGAGCAGAGAGCTCCCTCGGCCGAGCCCGACGGCCACCTCCGCCCTGGTCGCCGCGCCGGCGGCGAAGCCGTCTGCCGGGCAGACGCCCGAGAACACTGACGATCGCTTCTGCACCGGGAGACCTCCGGGCCGAGGGAACTCTGCCGACGAGAAGCCTCTGGAGGCCCCCAGAAGCCTCCAAGGAAGCACAGCGTGAGACAGCAGAGGGCGGCGCGGCGACGGGGATGCATGCAGGGAGGATGGCAATCATCCTGATTATGATCAGGAGGCGGAGCGGGGTGACCGCGAGGGAAGGAGGGGAGGGGGTAACGGCGCAAGCAGGACCAGGGGAAAGTGGGGGAATGGAGAGGGATGAGGAACGGGGGGGAAGATTCTGAGCATGATTGAGAGAGCATGAAAAGAGAAGGTGAAGAGGAGAGCTTGCTTGAATACGGTGCAACGGACGCGGGGACCTCATTCACCTGGGGGTGCTTGCAAAGACCCGAGCTGAATACGCGGCGAACACATCGACGGTCAGCGAAGCGAGCCTGAGCCTCTCCACAACGGTCCAGGCAAGCAAACTCACATCGATGATATCTGGGAAGGCGGATTCAGTATACGTCGATAGCTGTTTTTCCCACTTAGGTTCCTGTAGGCTCATAAGGCTGACCGAGGCTCAATTTCTGGTGGCCACGTAGGTTCATATGGGCTCCCGCTTTCTGGATGCGTGGCCCAAATTATCTGGTGAAGACTATAGCTTTCTGCCGCACTCTTTCAGAAACTAGCGACGTGTGTTTCCATGGTCGGGTGTTCATTAGCAGGATGCAGAAAACGTAGGGTGAAGAAACGTGCACGTTTCGTGCACCTTTGGGACCCGCGGTGGCAATTTAGGGGCCCTGTGAAGCCAATTTCCTCCTATCCTCGGTCTACGGAATTTGATTGCCCCCCGTTGCCGTCCGCTGGATATTGCTTCCCGTTGCCGTCCGCCCGATATGAGTTCCTGCGCGTCACCTGTGTGGCCCCAGTTGCTCCTTCGACTCCTTGCGTGGTTGAAATATGGGGTCCCGAGGGATGGGGTCTTAAGAACGAGGTGCCTCGGACAACGTAAATCCACCCTTGGGCCCCTTCCTTAGAAGGATAAACAACGGCGTACACATAAACTTGTGGCGCTGCGCGCGGACTTCGTGGATCCGCGCTGGGCCCCCTCCCTGGCGCGCCGGAGGCGCCGCCGGGGGGTCCCAGCGCGGATCCAAGAAATCTGCGCGGAGCGCCAAAAGTTTATGTTTATGGCGTTTTTTCTTCTTCGATTCCTATCCTTAGGCCCCCAACCCTCGGGACCTAATCTTCGAAACACCGACTCCTGCAGGTTCCTTCGCGTTCTCATTATCCTCCTCCTCCTCCTTCTCCTCCTCTGGGTCCCTTCCTTTCCTGAGGCCCCCATCCCTCAGGACCCCCTCTTTAAACTGCCGACTCCTGCAGAGTTCCTCTACGCCTTCCACTGGCCCCCGATGCAACACCTACTCTGGTGAAAGCGCTCGGGTTCTCCTGTGAGGGTGCTGACGCGACGTGCTGCCTCCTGTGGGCCTCAATGCTGAGTGCCGCCCTCCTCCTCCTCCTCCTCCTCCTCCTCCTCCCTCCTCCTCCTTCTCCTCCTCCTCCTCCTCCTCCTCCTCCTCCTCCTCCTCCTCCTCCTCCTCCTCCTCCTCCTCCTCCCCTCCTCCTCCTCCTCCTCCTCCTCCTCCTCCTCCTCCTCCTCCTCCTCCTCCTCCTCCTCCTCCTCCTCCTCCTCCTCCTCCTCCTCCTCCTCCTCCTGGTCCTCCTCGTCCTCCTCCTCCTCCTCCTCACTTTCCGTCGGCCGCTTGGGTTCATACTGGCACCTGTGCGCCACCCACTGGACCCCACACATCGCCGACAGATCGGCGATACACCCCCGAGAGCGAATCCGCAAGTCCCTGGGCGGAGCGGCTATCGGGCCACCGTCGGCGATCGGTGCGCGAGTTGTCGTCGATGCGTCCCCCCTGAGCTCTCCCCCCGTCTCACTGCCTCCGAGGTTTCCTGCAGACGTCCCCCCTTGGCCCTGGTTGCCGGCTTCTGGTGACCGCTTCGGTTTCTGTGGATGTATCTGCGTTCACCTGCGCCTGCCACTGGCCCTCGGTACCACACTTTTTTGTGACTGTTTGGGTTTCAATGGGTTCCGATGCGCCTTCCACTGGTTCCGGTTGCCGCCCTTTCCGTTGACCGTCCAGAGTCCGGGGGGCTCCAGAGGTGGGCGCCGCGCTTTCCGCCAGTGGCTCGGGTTCGTGCCGGCTCGTATACGCCACCCCCCGTCCCCGGGTGCCCCACGCTTCGATGGCCACCTCGGACCGCCTACCAGACCACCCCAACCCAACCCGGAGACCCGAGTTTCGGGCTGGGGGATGTGTCTTCACAGTGCTCCCCGCCCCCCCGCCCCCCCCCCCGACACCGGAAGTGGAGGGCACACTGAGGCCTCCGGGTTGTCGGGGGCGGCCAAGAGGGGGGTGTCCAAGAGGGGGGGGTGCAAATCATGACCGGCGGCATGTGCGCGGCCCAGCGGGGGGGCCAGGGACGTAATGACATAAGAAGAGGCGCCATGAAATCTGGGGAAATATCATGGCCCCCGCCATGATATCCACCCCCCCCTAGTCATCACCCCCCTCTTTTCCGCCCCCGAGGTTGGGTGGGGGTGGTTTTGTGGGCGGTGAGCCTCGGTCCAACCCGGGTCAGGGCCGTGCACGGCGGCAACAGCACCGAGAACCGGCCGAGAGCCGGCAGCGCAGCACCGGGGCCGACCGAAGACTCGGCAGGCCGCGAGCAGCCGAACCAGAAGGGCGCAGCCGGCGCGGCAGCGACGCGAACACCGACCGCACCGAAGCGACCGAGCACAACGGACCGGGGTGCAACTCCTCCTCCTCCTCCTCCTCCTCCTCCTCCTCCTCCTCCTCCTCCTC